GTAAAAAAAAAAAAACCCAAAACAAACTGCATGGCTAACAGGTGCTAGACTCCTCACCAACGTGTTTGGTTAACTTTTGAAAGAAAGGTTTCACTTGGAATAGACTTCCTGGTGAACAGGATCCGGTGTTGCCTAACAGATACTGAGTGGATATGGAGTAAACCATGGGCTTGTGCCGGGCAGTTGGCTGCTTTGGCAACTCACCCTTCGGCCTTGGTCAATAAGCCAGAATTTTAGGAAAGAGTCAAGGCTGGCAGCCATGCGCACGGAGGATCTAGGAAGCCATCCCCGGAGTCATCATTCTTCAGGCTCAGCCTCCTCAAAAATTGTCCCACTCTGTTCCCAGGCAGAGAGCCCCAGGGTTGGAATTGCCTAAGCCCTGATTCACACGTGTGTCCTGTGCCCCTGTGCTCCCTCGGTGTGCATGCAGGTCGGCCCCAGGGAAGACGTCAGTGGGACTGAGATACGGGGAACTTCAGAATCATTTTTATGGCAAAAACAGAACTCATATTCATTGTGGGAAAAAAACTGGGTTATACAGGCAAGCATCATGGATTGAAAAGAGAATTCACAATCCCAAGGCCCAGAGATTACACTAGTTAACAATTGATTCTATCTCCTCCCAGCCTTTTGCCTCCATGTGATAGAGAATGTGATTTTAAAAGAGTTGGATTATTCTAACAACATTGTTTTATAATCTTGTCCTACTTATATTCTATTGTGGACATTTATCAGGTCATTAATCTGTACTTATGATTTTTTTAAACATCCACACAACTTTCCAACACACAGATGTACCATAGTTTATTGAGTAATGCTATGTAGTCGAGCATTCAGATAATTCTCAGTTTTTCACTATGAAAGACTACACCGTGATAAACATCCTTGCACATAAATATTTGTGTGAACCACTGATTTGCTAAGAACAGATTCATTCAAGTGATATCATGCAATCAAGACATGTGAATAGTTTTAAGGTCCCACAAAGGCTTTGCTAACTTATACTCCTACCCAAAGAGCATGAAAGATGGCACTTTTCCAAAGGCGGTTTTTAGGTAAGACTGTTCTGGTGGCCTGACCTAGGGTCCCCCTCCCCTGGTGGAGCTGACCTGTGCCCTCAGAAGCTCCCCGGGGCAGCTGTGTGCAGAAGCCTGTTTTTGCACCCCAGGGCCTTCCGGACCACGTTTACTCATCTCTACAGCTGGGCCAGCTGAAGCATGTGGAGGTCAGGTGATGTGCGTGGGGTCATGCAGTCAGCGGTGACTCAGCTGGAGCTCCTGAACCTTGCTCAGATCACAAGGCTGAGAGCACTTGCTTCCCTAAGGCCCATTATTCCCAAATAATTAAAAGAGGCCATTTGCACTGAAGTTTGTGGATATTAAGTTTTTGGAACGAGTGGTTCAACCCCATGACTTGGTTAATTGGTGACACCAACTGCTCTGCCTTCTTCTTCCTTGTTGGAACCAGAGAATGATTGCCCAGCTTCCCTGAAAGGGAGGGCTTGCAAGGAGGCTCTGTGATAAACATTTTCAGGTGTCCATCCAAAACTCTCAGACCCAGAGACACACCCACAGACCTGGATCCAAACAGCAATTCTGGTACGTCTGATTCACTGTGACTTATTTAGAAGCCGTGCTGGCTACCTTGCGAGGTACTAGATAGAACATTCTCGCCAGGAAGAACACCCCTGATGACAAAGATTAACCTTTCATAAGACTTCTTGTTTACTTCATCCATAGGTAGGCACCAGAACAAATTCAGACGACCCAGTCAACCTGATAGGACTGAATCTCCCCAGATGGGTGGGCTGGCAGGTATGACTGCAGCTGTTCCATGGTGAGTCTGTGCTTCCAGGGGTTTTCTGCCCTGGGGTACTCCCTGTGAGTTCAGGGTCCTCCAGGGATAGTGTGCTTTATTCTGACACTTAGCCCTAGACCATGGGAGTTAAAGCCCAGATGCCCCCCGAGGGCCCAATTCTACTTACACAAGGGTTAAGAGAAAGTGAAAGAGCATCCATCTGTCCTGTCAGCTGGCTCCCAACCTTTTCCCTAGGAGGGAGGACACATCAGTTATATCCTCTATGAGACATTCACAGATGAGCATGACACACACACACAACAACAACAACAACAACAACAACAACAACAATAATCTAAATAATCTGAGGCAATACATGCTTGTAGCTAAATGCTGTGCCATTTATCTGCAGACACACAGACACACACACACACACACACACTCCCTGGCAGACCCTAAACTGGGATTCAAGTGGATGTTGTTAGAACCCAAAGTTTGGACCCCTTCCTGTGGGCAAGGTACTTCAAGAAGGCTTTGGGTTCCTAGTTGCAGGATGCTCATGGAATTTGGTGTGTAGTCCTTTGGACAGGAAGGAGGAGGACAGTGGAAGTATGGYGTACAATCTGGTTCTTGTAAAGTTCTTGTAAGGATTTTGAGAATGCTTTTCAGTTCAGAGGAAATGAAGGACAGCAGCCACTGCTCGGACAATCTGAAGATCAGCAGACTGTAGAGCCCCATGGGTACACTGTTGGCATGGACGCTGGCAATGCTCATGACAGGTCCTGTCCGCCAGGGCAGGATTAAGGCTCTTGTTGTGAGGAGGGAGGAAGGGAGCAAGAGATGAATAGTGCAAGTACCTCGTGTGATTGTATCCAGCTGCCTGACTCATAAGTTCCCACTGGAAACCTCTGGGGAGGCCCAGAAATACTTACATGGGGGAGACTTTACAAGGTTGGAGGGCAGGTTAGGGCCAGAGCAGGACACCCAGTTGTAAAGATTAATATGCATCTCACCAAAGCTCCCCATTTTAATGCACTAATTCATTGTCACTTGGAGCTTCAGTGGTTTCATTTTTCATTACTAACAATAATGAGAAATATTCTTGAACATAAATTTTTAGGTGTTTCTCTGATTAAATTCATAGACATATATCAAGACATTTACTAGGGTGCCTATCCACTTGTAGACAAGTGTTGAATTTTATCAAATGCTTTTTTTTTTTAAATTTATTTATTTTTTTTAGTTCTCGGCAGACACAACATCTTTGTTGGTATGTGGTGCTGAGGATCGAACCCAGGCCGCACACATACCAGGTGAGCRCGCTACYGCTTGAGCCACATCCCCAGCCCCTTATCAAATGCTTTTTATTCATCTATTAAGATGGTCATGAGATTTATATCCTCCATTCTGTTGAGGTGGTATATCACATTAGTTGATTTTCATATATTGAACCATCCTTGCATCCTAGGGTTAAATCCCACTTTATCATCCCACTTTGACATGCTGTTGAACAGGTTTGCTAGTATTTTTCAGGGTTTTTGAATCTATGTTCACCAGGAATATTAGCCTGTAGTTCTGTTTTCTTATAGTGTCTTTGTCTAAATTTGGTATTAGTATAATGTTGGCCTCATAAAACAAGTTTAGAAGTTTTCCATTTTCTTCATTTTTTTGATAGAGTTTGACAAGGATTGGCATCGATGTTCCAAATGCTGGAAGAATTGAACAATGAAGCCCCATCTGGTCCTGGGCTTTTCGTTGTTTTTGTTGAGAGGTTTCTGATGACTGATCCAGTCTCCCTGCTGGTCATAGGTGTGTCTAGACTTCCTCTTTCTTCTGATGCAGTCTAAGTAGGTTATATGTTTCTAGGAATTTATCCATGTCTTCCAGGTTTTTCACTTTGTTAGCTGGCACTTCTAGTAGCCTCCTGACCCTTATTATTTCTGTGGTATCATGTGCAATATTTCCTCTTTTATTTCTGATTTTATTTATTGGGGTCTCTTTTCTCTCTCTCTTTTTATTAACCTAACTGAAGATTTGTCAATTTTTTAAAATCTTGATACAAAACCAGTTCAGTTTCCTTTATTTCTGTGTTGTTTTTCTACACTGTTTTATTTATTTCTCTCCTAATCTTTACCATTTCCTTCCCTGTGCTAACTCTGGGTTTGGATGATTCCTCTCTTCCCAGTTCTTTCTAGTTAGGTGATTTAACATGAACAACCTGCCCAGCTCCTTCCCAGAGTTTCTGTGCTGCTTTTGCCTGGAGGTCAGTGGTCCCCACTCTCACCAGCTCTGGGGGTTTGGGTCCTTTTTCTCCTAGCTGTTCAGATGGGCATGACACCTCGCTGTGGTACTCTCATTTCCTCAGTGGCTAACGATAGTGAACATATTTTCATGTGCTCACTGGCTATTTGTAGCTCTTTGTGGGTGAACTCTGTACATCTTGCTTATTTTTGTTTATGGTGTTTGACTTCTCCAAGAAGTCAAGCTCCAAGAGTTTTTCTAACTCTGAATACAAGGTCTTTCCCCAAAATGTGGATCCTTGGTGTTTTCAGTTTTTCTCCCAGTTTCTGGCTCACCTTTCCCTCTTTGTCTTTGAAGAAATATTTTTTTATTTTACAAAGACCAATTTATATATTTTTCTTTTATAGCTAATAAAAGTACTATTTTCATATAGCACGAAGTATAGGTATTTTTGTTAAGACTTGAAGTAATTTGGTATTCAGAATTGGCCACACAATAGCTGATAAGGAGCAGAGGGAAAAAAACACATAAATGTTTTTTTCAAAAGCTTAACTACAAAACCCCCCTCTTAAACCAAGAGCTCTGAGGTTTGGTAAAAGGGTTGGAGGTACTAATGACCATTTTCCAATGCGGATGATGGCACAATATCCATTTGTTGGACATGTGTTGCTGTGCGTTCACAGTTTAGAAAAACACTCTGAAAAGGTGGCTTAGCATTTTTCTTTTGCCTATTTGACTCCCTTGCAGGAGGAGATTGGAAACTCAAGCTACTCCGGGGCTCTGCTTCCACATGACCAGGCTGTAGGATGTCAAAGTAACTACAGGTTAACAAAACAATTTTATTTGAAATTAGGGTTGAATCAAAATTTTGAAAGTAACATAGAAACACGGAAAAGTGGTCTTCTAACTCTTCTATGTTGGACAAAAGCATGGTTGTCAACCTGGCTTTGCAGATACTTAGGTAGAGAGAGAGTGTTTGGGAGGCCTTGAATTCCACAGTCAGTCTGCAATTTTGGAGTTTGAATGCCTGGGTTTGATGTGGCTTCTTTGACTTTCAGCAAATAAATTACCCTCTCTGAGGGTATGGGTGTTTTTGGTTTTGTTTTCCTTTATAAATAGGGCTGTTACATTCATGGTTGTTGTAATTATTAAATAACACTGGAAATTTCTAGTACAGAGCCTTGTGTTAGCTCCTCAGGGTAAATACCCAATGGGTGTGTGTTGAATTGGAATGAGTTGGATATTCAAGGTTGTTGTTTAAGCAAGAAAATTATATTAATCTAATGCAGCCGCTTAGCTCTGATCTCAAGGAAACCTTTCAGACTTTCCCATTACCTATCAAGGGCATACCAAGGAATGCACTACCATATTGTCACTTTTGAGAAGAGGAAAATAAAGTCATAGCAAAGAATGAAGAAGACAACTTCAAAAACAGACTGTATTCCCAAGACTATCTTCTTGTGCTGGGTGCAGTTCCCTCTCTTGAGTAGGCTCCCAGCATGCTTCACACTAGGGCAGCCAGAATGGATTCTGTTGGCCAGTGACCTAGGAGAGGGAGAAGAAATCCACAAGGGAAACATGAACGAGGAAGAAGCAGAATGCTAATCACAAAGTCAGTCTTTTCTTATTTCACATTTAGCTCTTAAATAATTTATTGTTTCAACAGATTTTTCAAGTCCCCACAGGTGAGCCTAGCATTCTGGGTATGACAGACAATTCCAAAACCATTTCCCATACTCCCCAGTGAGGGGACAGTATAGATGCAAAGGAGTGATTGGAGGCCAAAACGATTGATACAGACCAGAGGCATTTCAGGAGTTCAAAAATAAAGATCATCCAAATCGGAGCTACCAGTCAGGCTTTTGAAATGGATGTTAGAAATGTGATAGTAAGACACGTGGACCATCTCCCAGGTGTGGTGAAGAGGGGGGCTAAGACCCGAGGGACACAAAGGACATGGGTCCTTGGGTTTTTAGGCTCAGTCAGTCTCAKTTCTATTATTACCCCCAGGCTGTTACCCTATGCAAAAGGCCTTCTTTGCTTCCATAAATTACTTTCTTCAAAAGGAAAAGGGTAAACTTAGCATCAGATATTATGCCCAAGTCTTATACCTCCAGCTATCATGTGGATTCTTAAACTTAAAAATTAATAAGGTACAATATTATAATAGTATACATACAGTACAATATTGCAAGGTTATTTTTTTATGTTCTCCTTTTCCCACAGCCCTCATATAAACAACTGGGTGTAGGGGACTGGGGCTAAGATAGGAGTGATTTGTATGGCATGATTTCAGGAACAAAGACTTTGCTGAATTGAAAATTGCCTCTCTTGTGTAACACAGACTTTGTGCTCTTAGATAAAGCTTATGAGCTTGTTTTCCCAAGACGGATTCATTTTCTAAGAGGATCTCCCATCTCTCATACCAACCAATTTCGGAGTTACTTAACTATCAATCCCCTGATCACACTGGAATTTTCAAATCGAACACAGGTTAGACTAGTAGCCTGGACCCCTCTACCTCACAAAAATGTCTCACAGTGGCAAGGGACACATACATGTTGGTTGGTTCCTTAAATATTCACCTAGTGGAGTCCAGGCAGAGGCTTAGAAGCTGCAGTGGAATTGCTGTAAGGCTCAGGATAAGGTTGGGTGTCAGAACACAGGCTTGTGTCATCTGAAATGTTAAGACCAAGACATTTTTAAATAAAAAATAAATTTAAAAAACAGTGGAGAAAACAGCGCCTGAGAATGGAAAGACAAAAAGAGCATTTCCAAGGGTGTGAGAGAATGAAAGCTTGTTGGCAAATGTCCATTCCTTGCAGGCTGAATCTTCCTATTTGCCCACTTTAGGGTGGCATTTGGTACTTTCCTTTTGCTGGTACATATCACTGTCCACCTCCCTTGTAGAACCTGAACAAGATTTGAGCAGACAGGCAGCAGCAGCATGGGTAGAATATAGAGTTGAGGCTAGCCATGGCTTTGGTTAAAGGATCAGCCTTATTGAGGAGGAAGATTTATAGGGAGAAACAATGGAAGATTCATTCATTAAGCAAACACTTCCAAAGCACCATCCTGTGGCAGAGCAATGTGGGAGGGCAGTTAATAGAGAGGAAAAGACTGAGGACCCTGAATAGGTAGAGGGTCTTGGGTCAAAAAAGGATCAGCTAACCTTAAAAAGTGAACACATTTCCCTCTGGAACTCAATAGTAACGAGGAAAGTAGGGATGTTACGGAACAACAATCCTAAGTAAACACTGGAGTCATGAAAATTGTACTGAGCATTTGTTACCACCAGGCAGCTTTGTGTGTTGCATAAAGGCTGTTGGATGAAGAAGAGAGAAAAAATAGGATTAAAATCGAATTCCAACACTCAAATTCACCATCTAATGGGGGAAAATATGACAAATAAGTAACAAAGGCATAATGTTACACATGACACAGTAGAAATGGAAATCCATCCAGATGTCCCCATTGTAGGTGCTGGGGTTCCAGGTTTTTCCAGCCAAAGGCCTGATTCTCAAATAAGAGATCTGCTGCAGCTGAGGGTTTTACCGTCTTCGGAGTTAAGTCATTCTGATTATCAGCTCCTTAGAGCCTTTCTCTACTTGCAGCTGCAGGAGATGCATGCAAACAAGGATCTGTCCRGCTTTCAAACTGGGCTTTCAGTTGTCGGTTGCCCAGCTGTTGGTTACATTTCTGCATAAACAGTGCATCAATGGCCTTTAGCCATCTTCCCAAATATTAGAATACTGTTATTATTGCTGTGATTTTCTTCATATACCTCAAAAGCCTGACACAGCACCCACTCTAGTGCATTCTCTTCCACTATTGCACCACAATTCACTACTGCTAAAAGTTTAACCATGAGATCAGAATCAGGGCCAGGGACTCTGAGCCACCTTACCAGCGATGGTATCCTCACCATCAGCTGGCAGTGAAAACCTAACTTACTGCCTGTTTTCTGGGGACACCCCCAGGTTGAATTCTATGGAAGGAGACATTAAGACAAATTTGGGGTATAAAAAATTTATTATGAATGAAAACCTCTAAAGGAAGGATGAAGAAGCAGGATCAGACAGAAAAAGTTGAAGATGGTAGGGAGCTCCAGAGGTAGGCAATAATTGAGCTCATCAATAATTCTAATTCCCTGGAAAAGCCAGGCAACTAGAGGGCTTTATGTCCTCTTTCCTCAGTCATGGATATGGGCCACTGCTATAGGGATGCAGGCGAAGTGACACAACTGAGGCAGACCCTGAGGGAGCTGAGGGCTAAAGACTGTTAGCTGACCACATTGTCCCTCACTGGGCTGAGAGTCATTCCTTGAAGGGGCAACTGAATAGCTTGTCACAAGCCTGAGCTAAGACAGATGCAACAAGGATAGGTGATGATGATGGTGATGGACACAAGTGGGTGGGTGGGTAGAGAAGAGATGATAGATACAGAGATGTATATATGGATACCCACACAGAGAAAGGAGGAAGGAGGAGGAATGGGAACAAGGAAGAGGAATTATGGAGTAGTCTTAACATTTTCTATAAATCAAGAAGGCAAACTAATTTGCAAAGATCAAGGACAGTCTGACTGGAGATTTGAAGAAGATGGAATATTTAGAAATATTGGCCAGAAGAGATGTTTTATGTCTTCTGACAGAATTTTTAAATCACCCTGCTATTGCAGATCTGTTTAAGTTTACAGTGTAAATTTTCAGAAGGCCAGTCCTATTGCAGTCTGAGTCTTTATCCCATAGACTTACATTGTCAGGGGAGGTCAAATGAACACTCTGGGTGCAGACTGGACTTGGGGTTGGCATGATGGACCTGGGTAAGTGCCCAATGGATCGATGAGGCAATGTCATAGCTGACTAGGGACCTCAAGCTGCATAGAACATTGAGTGGAGACAGAAGGCTCCCAGGTGCTGAAAGGAATGATCAGTGGTTTAAGCTATGGTAAGAGTAGAAGATCTTGTGATTCTTATGAGGGAGAAGAAGAGGGACTAGCTGAGGAGGTTCCAGCAGAAAAAGGAAAAGACTAGTTTGAGATCTCAGGTGGGAAATCTATGAAGAGACCCAGGATRTAGTGATACAGGAAGGAAGAGGCGTGGAATGAAGATGAAGGCTGGTCAAATCACACAAAACAAGACAGTGTGAGGAGTGACAACTCTGTCACCAGAAGGTTTTAGTAAAGCCTGGAATAATCAGATTTGAATTTCAGGTTCTGCACCCAGAGAGCAAGGTTAATAGAGGCCATGTCTGGCCATTAGGAATTTAGTATCTGAGACCTCTGAGAGAAAACAAAACCCAGTCTCCTTTTTCCTGGGAAAAAAAAGACCTCACTTGATTTTTCCAAACTGAGAGGATCAGGAAAATGTTTTGGTGACAAGTATTAGGCTTAAAACACTAAAATAGGTGGAAATGTGCTTTGGTGATAGAAGGCCAGAACATATTTTTTAAAAACAGACATTGAATGGCCTCTTCCTCTTTCACTTTCTACCACAGTGTCTGCTAGGCAAGGAAAATGACTCATTAATAAATTTAGCACCAGAGGCCTGACTCATTCAGAAACCTCTTAACAACCACCTCACCCAATCTTACTATACTTTAGCTAACGAGATTCTCAAGCTTAGGCTGTCAGAATTATGCCTTACACATGGGCAATGGGTTTTATAACTTGTACTAGAAGTATGCTAATAGTATGAATTCCCTTTTTAGTGATGTCGAAGCTGAGCTAAGTGAATCACCTTAGGCTAAACATTGAATAGAGGGCGAATCTGTACATCTTTTTCTCACCGAAACCAGCAAAATGTCCGTAGCCCAATACTTCATACTAGAGCAGTTGATCATTTAAGATCTGAACCCAGTGACCCCATAGAAATCATGACTACCAAATTGGAAGGGGCAATAGCATATCTATTAATGGGAAATTTCAGCAAAAGAATAATTTCTTATCCAACTTTGCTTTATCTAGCACAAAGCTTGGTAATGGGTATTCAGAAAACATGTTTGTTGTATGAATGAATAAAATACCTTAAGTATACATTTTTTTGTGACCATGGTCTTTTCTGAAAGGAATATAATAAAAAGAATATTTTTGGCTAAGGCAAACTTTGCAGGTCTTAGTGCAAAAAAAATGTGGGGAAAAATGCAAGGATCAAGGATGAAGAAATTTTAATACAGAATCTTAATTTCCCTGTAGCACTAATCAAAAGAGCAAGGGCTGAGGTTGTAGTGCTTAATGCTAATAAGCATGTAGTTCCTGGGGCAGAGGTAGGGAAGGAGTGCAACATGATTCCAAACAGACTTCCAGCTTCCGGGGCGGCTTGAGCTCCCCAATGCTTTACCATTTTATCTTTATCACCTGAACCTCCAAAGCTCCCATCCCATATTTGGTGGTTCTAGTTAAGGTAAATCATGTAGGTGGGCCAGGCATGGCGGTACACAACTGTAATTCCAGCCACTTGGGAGGCTGAAGCAGGAGGATCAAAAGTTCAAAGCCAGGCTCAGAAATTTAGAAAGGCCCTAAACAACTTAACAAGACCCTGTCTCAAAATAAAAAAATAAAAAATAAAAAGGACTGGGGATGTGGCTCAGTGGTAAAGTGCCTCTGAGTTCAATCCCCAGTACCAAAAACAAATAAATAAGAATATAGGTGAATCTTAGAGAAGTCAAATCCAATCAATAAATAGTTTCTGAAACATCTATAAGAAAGTAATTTGGGAGTACAAAATATAAGATCACCTTTGTCTCGAGGTATTTACAATTTACCTGGGAGAAAAGGATATGAGAAGCATGAAAAGGTGACAGACAGTAACAGGGATAAATTCAAGGTAATAAATTCAGTAATTCAAGGTAATAAAGACTTATTACAGGCCACACATGACCATGCCACATTCATCTCCCATTCTCAATTCCCACCAGACCCCAACCTTATTAAAGTATTCACTCCAGGTGACCCAGGGTAAGATGATCTCTCCCCACATCCAGGTGTAAGTTCAAATTAGTATAAGATTGTTCCCTTTGCCACCATTACCAGTGGTAGGTATGTGACCAATGTTGGGTCAATCAGACTGAAGAGAAAGACGCCATGCTCAGGTAGAGAGCCCCTACTCCACTGCTAAGCATAAACCAAGGGGAGTGAGGTTTATGTGGTTTCTCGATGTCTTCTTAAACCATGAAGAAACCAGACATTGTGTGGCAGAGTGAAGACATGACTTTTTAAAGTCTCTGAATCAACCTTGGAGCCTGTCCTAACTCAGGCCTTCCTGCTATGTGAGATAATAAATTTCCTCATTGCTCAAGCAGGCTGGGTGGAGGAATTGTTTCCAGTAGAATCTCAAGGAGACAATGACCAATTGCCAAATGTGTGGGCAGAAAATAATTACTGTGAGAGTTCAGAATGGGAAGAGTTCACATGAGGAGAGTGTGATCAGGATGGCTTTCAGGGAAATAGAAATGAATAGAATCTATACAGCAGGAGAAACAGGGAACACATACATCCCAAGCAAAAGCCAGAAGATGAAGGGAGTTTGAGCAGCAATAATGGAGTAGAAAATGCAAAGCGCAGAGGGAAAGATCGGAGAAGATTGTGGAAGATATGTAGGCAGTAAGGCTCCAGTAAAGAGTTAGAACTAGCAAATGATCGTGCCCTGCCTGACCATTTGGAGCCAGGTCTACTTTAGACCACCATCACATTTTACTCCTGCCGGCCTATAAAAATAAGCTTCACACGCTAATGGGTATCTTAAGTGAATGGCCCCCATCACTGCCCCTTCACCTTGACCTGTCAGCATACTGACCTGCCTGACCTGACCTTGACCTGGTTCCACACTTGTGACTCTGGGATCCTACCTCTGATCCCACATATTTGGCTTTTGCAGATTTGTCTCTCACACTGCTCACTCCACGACTTGGTCCTTGCATCTTCTCTCTCATGGCTCTGCGTTAGTGTGTTTCTCCACAGCGGAGACCCACTGATTTCTTGTTAAATGCTTTGCTGTCTTACAGGCCAGTCCCCATTCCAGGCAGTGAGGAGAAAAGAAGAGAAGAAATGATTCATCTAGGAATGCTGGTGCAGAAGTGACCCAGACATAGCCATGCCCCATGGTTAGAACCAATGTGGTTTTAAAGGAAGTCACACGAGAGGTTGAGACATATGCTATGCCAAGAGCTCTTAGAACAGGCAAGGAAAATGCCCACAACCCAGCAGTGAGTATGTGGATGACCAACATGAAAGGGTGCTCAAATTTCCTAAAATTACGGAACTGCAAATTAAAAAACTCAGTGAAATATCAACTACTCTGGCAAAAGTTAAAAAGGACTCTATGACTTATTGTTGGTAGGGATGTGGGGAAAAGTATACTCTTACACATTATGGGAGGAAATAGACTTAACAAAGTCTTAACAGAGACTTTATTCAGTGAAGGCAAGAGGACAATGTTCTTAAAATTAAAAAAGAGAGAAAGAGAAAGGAAAAGAAGAATTTTTTTAAAAAGAGGGTGGGGTGGAGAATCTCATGAGAATAAAAGGCAGAGGAAAGGGAGGAATGAGAGGAGGAAGTATTGGGGGAAAAAATCCACCAAATTATGCTATGTTCATGTATGAATGAGCCTCAATGGTACGTGTGTGTATATATATACACACACACACGTGAACATATATATGTATACATGATTCATGTATATATATATTAATATATACATATAAATATACCACACATATATGTGATTCATATGTGAATATATGTATGAATATACATATATACACATATAAGTATATATGTGTATATATACCACATATTTATATAGTCACATTGTACCTATTAAAATAATAATAATAATAATAGAATGGATATCAGTATGGCAGAAGGAGAAAGAAAGAGAAGATAAAGAAAGTACTAGGAAATGAGATTGATCAAATTGTTATCGGCATGTAMWAATAAGGCATAATGAATTCCACCATTATATAGTTATAATGCACCAATTTAAAAATACACATAGCCTTCCCTTAAGCAATGCACTTTTACTTTAATATCATAGAAATAAAACAACACTGTAAAAAGATATAAGTACACAGTTATATATTGCAGTGCCATTTAAAAAATATTTTTAGTTGTAGACGCACACAATACCTTTATTTTATTCATTTTTATGTGGTGCTGAAGATCAAACCCAATGCCTCACATGTGCTAAGCAAGTGCTCTGCCACTGAGCCACAGCTCCAGTCCTTGCAATGCCATTTGTATTGGTGGGTGGGGGGATCTAGGAAAAAAGAGAATATTTATCAAAAGAAAAAGGACTGAATAAATTATCGTATATTCTACAGCCATTCTAGTCATTTATTTATGTATTTATTATTGTGCTGAGATTGAACCCAGCTCTGCTTTACTACTGAGTCACATCCCAGCCCTTTTTATTATTTTTTTTTATTTTGATATAGAATCTTGCTAAATTGCTTACAGCCTGGCTAAATTTCTGAGGCTGGTCTCAAACTTGGGATCCTCCTGCCTCAGCCTACCAAGGTTTATAGGCATGTATCACTGTACCTAGCCATTCTAGCAATTTTTGCWATGCCAGTTTACAAGGAAGGACTGACATGGGGAGTCATCATGACTCAGTCTTCTCTAGTGCTTGTTAAATGACAAGCACAACACCAAGTTCTTTACATATATTATTTATATGTAATGCTCGKAATAATCCTATGAACAGGTTGCTATTGCTATTTTACAAATATGGAAACTGAGGCATGGAGAAGTTAAGTAACTTGTCTGAGGACACACAGTCAGTAGCAGAGCTGGATTAGACAATTGCAGGGCAGAGCTCTACAATGAGAAAAGGAGAGAAAGGGAAATCCAATTAAAAATAAAGAAAAGAATCAGACTTTTTAAAAATCAGGTGTAATATAATTTCATTTATTTATTATAAAATTATATGAATATATTCACAAAGACATTTAATTTTTAAAATAAATCATGGAATTGTAGGAGGTTCAGATTGGAAGGAAAAAACACAAATGTAACATAATCATACATCTGAGACTTGAAGTACCTCCATAATATCTGTACTCAGTGGTTTGTAAACACTCTAGAATAGAAAACAATGTGTTTTTAGGCAGCCCCCTTTTTGATTGAACCCGTAACTCTTAATACTTAGTCCTTGTTCTTTCTATCACTTGGGTGTCATAGAGAACAAGTTTATTCTCTCTTTGAAAAGACAGCCCACCAAGTATTTTAGAAAAGATAATCTATTCCCTTCAGATATTCCCTTCTCCAAAGTATCTAGCTTCTTCAACAAGACTTCAATGAGATTTTCAGTTTTCCATTAAGGTGGTCTCTTCATTACAAATGTGATCTGACCTGACTATATTTCTTTTCAAGCCTGGGACTCACAACTGGACCAATAGATACAGCCTGACACAAATGGTGAACCACTGCAGATTCTGACCCTATGTCAATGGAAAGTGAGAACAGGTCAGKGGTTTTAATGACCAAGTTGTGCCATGGCTTCTAAAGAAGCTATTGACAAAACCAAAACCTGTTCTTTTTACTCATAGTACTGTCCTTTTTTACTAATCACCACAAAATTTTATCCCACATACTTTATGTTGAGTTGCTATTCAAATGCAAGTAACATTAAAATGGTCTTTGGAGAGAGGCTGGCTTGGGCTTGAACCTTGGCTCTACCATATCCTACGTGGCTTTGGGAAAGTCATTTACYTTGTTTGACCTCAGTTTCTTCAACAGTAAGATCAACATCAAAGTTTCAGTTACAGAGTTGCTTTAAGTACTAGAAATAGAGTATAAATACTAATCAATATAAGTATACAGATTTTAAAAAGCTGTTTGGGGACCAGGGTATTGCTGTTGGTAGACTGACTCACTGTACTGACATTCCAAATTCACTGAGATTGAGATTATAATTTACTATGTTAACTCCTAGATTCCTGTGAACTGCCACTAGAAACATCCTCTGGTTGACTAATCTACATCTAGTGAGAAAGGTCAAGACCATTCTTTTTTTTTTTTTCATTTATTTATCTTGCAGATTCTGCCTTCTTTCTTAAAGTCATAGCCTTTACTGATTTCCAGTATTATCTTATATTCATGTAACGTGACAAAAATCCACTAGTCATGGATTTAATGATCTTATGAACCTGGATGATTTGGCTCATTTAGAACTGTTAAGGGAATCAGATGACTTTTCTCTCTAAATTCCCATCCAATTTCGCTTTCACCAACACATTCTTCCTTGTGAAAGTAGAAACTTTCCCTGCCTCTTCCTCCACTTCCTGATTGATGATTCTGTCAGTGGAGTAAGACAGGAATTTGTCAGATGCTCTACTTTYAGCCAAATGGGACACTCTGCAGACACCCTCCTGGTTGGAGAAGGCTTCTAGGTTGGCTGAGAAATGGGTCAGGAGAGTGCTGTCTGCGGCTAGCCCCYACCCCGCTGTTCAAACGTGAAGTTATTTTTACTGTACACTGTATAGTTATCATCCTGAAACTTCTTCATCCTCCCCTGAAGTTGGGTTCACTCCTTTCCAAATGAAATGTTTTCCTCTTTCTTAGGTTAGACCTGCTTTGTCCTGGAACACATTCTCTGGGAATTCGGACCTCTAGACTTACACATCCTAGAATTTCATAGGGACAGGAAGTGTCCTTCTTAAAACCAGTCTGCTRTTCTCATCCTTAAATTTCTACACAGCTAAATGGCTTATGGACATGTAGTTCAACTGTATCCCCTTCTATAGCAAATTGTTCTTTTTTAAAATCCCTGAATCTAGAAAATCTTCACGTCCTACCCTCCTCATCCATRCCCCTACTTCCCTCCTTAGCTTAARTTCCATCCTTGGAACAACTTACAAGACTCTCAAAACGTCTTTTTTCCTTCCATCACACTCACCTGGTTAAGCTCTGGTCTTGATCATGCCCTCTATGCTGCTTGCAGCCTCAAGTCTGAACATGGCTGGAAAAAAAAAATCAGAACCATGCTGAATAGTCTCCCTTTAAATTTATGACCACAAACCTCAAATGGGCACAGTGCTGCCTGGCACTAAACCTTCATTTCTCTAGTATTTGGTTTTCTACCCTCCTCATGACTTTGCCCCACATATTCTTACTCCTCAAGCACCCAACACTCACCCCTCCTTCCTCCCACTGACTTAAATAGGATGTCCCCTCTGTTCCTTTGTGCTTGTGGTTAACACTGCCTTGAGCTATGAGGGCACCTGCCATTGCCAAGTCTCTACTCCCTTTTTCCTTCATGATACTTGTTTCTACCTGAGATATAAATAAAAATATATACATATATATTATATGCATTATATAAATATGCATTAAACAATATTATATACAAATACATTAATATAAGTATATATCATATAATTATATATTTATATATAATATGTATTATATATTATTTATGCATAACATAAACTGTGTAATTGTCCTCAATGCAGGTTGTGTAGTTATCATCCTGGAACTTCTTCTTCCTCCCTGTAAGTTATATCCACTCCTTTCCAAATAAAACGTTTTCTTCTTTCTTAGTTTACTCCTTCTTTGTGCTGGAACACATTCTTTTGGAACTAGGACCTCTAGACTTACACAGCCCAGAATTGCAGGGACAGGAAGGAATATGGATTTCYCAAGTGGGTCATTAGGAGCCATGGTAAGCGGAGCCACGCCTATCTTCATTCCTTGTTTCCCAGACCCATTCATTACTCTACCTACTGGGGGCACAMCAAACTCTAGAGGTTGTTTTAGGCAGCTTTTTCACTCCTGTGACTAAAAGACTTGACAAGAACAACTTTAGAGGAGGAGAGGTTTATGAGGCTCACTTTTTCAGAGTCCACAGACTGCTGGYTCCATTCCTCAGGGCTCAAGGTGAGGCAGGACAACATGGCAGAAGAATGCGGTGGAAGGAAGTGGCTCACGTGATGATCAGAAAACAAAGGGAGAGACTCCACTAGCTAGGTAGAAAATATATACCCCAAAGACATGCCTCCCCAAGACCCACCCCTCCAGCCACACACTATCTGCCTTCAGTTTTCACTCAGTTCATTTCTTCAGGACATTGATTCACTGATTGGGTTAAGACTCCCACGACCCATTCATTTCTCCTCTAAACCTTCTTGCATCATCTCACATGTGAACTTTTGGGGGACACCTCACATCCAAATCATAACAGGGGTCATTGATTTATAGCTGCTATTCTCAAAAAGGACTCTCCAAGAAAATGAAGCCCTAATGCCCTGAGGCATCCATTGTACATAATGAATTAACTTTCCTCATAAGAGTCTAGGATAGCATTAGCCATGGATCATCTACCGGAGAATAGGGAAAATAGCACTCAAATCATTTTCAGTATGGTTAAAAGCTCTTTTGTAATCCTGATGGAGAAAGACCAACAGTGTATTCTGTACCTTAAAAGATAGCACCTGTCTATACACAAGAAACACCTCCAGGCCGGCACTACCCTTCAAAACATCATTTCATCACGATGCAGGGCTAGGGCTTCTGGGTGGGGCAGTGTGTAAGAGCAGTTGATGTTATGGTCATAAAGTCTATCTTTTTTTGCTATAAAGTGCTGGTTCTCTAATATTAGTGAACTTCAAAATCACCTGAAGAATTTGTTAAAACACTAATTTCTGGGTCCTCACTCAGAGTTTTATTTACTAAATCTGGAGTAGGACTCAGGAACTTGTATTTCTAAAACAYTCCCAGATGATGTTACTGCTACCGGTCTAGAGGCCAAACTTAAAGAACCAGTTCCTGCCTTCCACTCGCCATCCTCCAGCCACTCTGSCTTATTTCCTCTTTCAGACTTTGCAGGAAGGGTCCTCCCTTGGCTCCATTGCCCAGGTGATTCCTTCTCTTTACTTGGATCATTCCATCCCATCTCTCTACACTGTGGAGCCATCCCTAAATCCAGGGCTCAATTCAGATGTCCCATTCTCAGAGATGCCTGTGCCATGTCAACTGTGTCTCTGTCTATGCCAACTGACCTCATCACTCTCAATCTACATTGTTTCTTTCTCTCTCTTTTTTTCATAGCATAAATTACTATATGATCATTTCTTATTTAATTGCTTACCTGTCTGCATATTTTTTTTGTAAACTCCTTCATTGAAATGCTCTTGTCACTCTCATTCASGGTTCGATCCCCAGCATCCCAA